TTCGAAATAGACTGTTTACACCATAGAGCTTTTTATCTTTTGATAGTCAGCATATCACCCTGCATATATCCCAGCATTAGCCACCACTTGACTGTGCCAGAATTAATACAAAAATTGTTTAGTCTGTTTTACAGCAAAAGTAGGGCAACCACAACTAGAATTTCTAGAGAATTCCACTCAGCCAGACTCAGAGCAGGGACATCTATGAGTGAACATGTACTTACTCTCAATGCCACTAGGGCCGAATTATTGCAGAGGGGGGAAATTATAACTGAGGAGAGCATGAAAAGCATAATTATCAACTCTTTGGACCAAAGTTGGGACAATTTCATATCACAATTAGACAGTCTCAGCATAGAACACCTGTCCATTGAAACCTCACAAATAGACCAATAGCTGAGGACAACTTAAGGAAAGATCGATCAATGTCCCGCAGAGATCACAAAACAGACAGGAGGATAGGCTCAATAGACAAGAGTAGCAACACACCTGAATGCTACCTATATGGCTCCAGGTATCATTACAAGAGGGATTGTCCTAGGAACACACAAGGCAGGGAACACGGTCAGCGAAGGGACCAGCCAGGATACAGACAGAGACACTCCCCAGAACGTGGATTTAGACGCAGGGACTCTCCCAACCCCAACAGCAGAAGAGATCACAGGGATAGCTCCCAAGAGAGTCACTCAGGCTCACTCTACGGACTTGGGGGATAGGGACACAACAGCAAACATGTCAAAAAGGAGTGTGTTTGGTTAATAGACTCATGTGCAACCAATCACACCACACACAATGCCAACTTACTCTCCTGATTCACCAAAGAAAACTTTATGATCAAAGTAGCTAACCAAAACAACGTAAGAGTGGCGGGGAAGGGAAACATAACCATACCAGAAATTGGAGAAATAGAGGGGGTCCTATTCATACCAGAGATCCCATACAACATACTAGCCGCTATGCGGCTAACTCAAAACACAGACATTGAAGTTATTTTCAAGGAAGGACATGCACACATAACCAAGAATGGAAAGGGCATAGGAGAAGTTATGATTAGTGATGGCCTACCATACTTCAAGGCGGGAAACATTAACAACTTAAGCATAAACACCAACTCAGAAGTAGAACAGGAACAAACATATCCCGAAGATGATAGAGAAGACAATGATGAAGTAGAGGGAGACAACCACCAAAAGACACAGGGCAACGAACATAACCACGAGCCGATCAACGAAAGCAAACTCTCATTAGGTAGACCCCTACATGACAACTGTGCACACCTATTACACAGAAAACTGGGCCATATTAGTTTTCCTGTTGTACAAAAAATGACAAAATGTACTGATGGTTTAAAAGTATAAAATTGTGAGAATTATTTAGAGTGTTCAATCTGTAAATGTTCCAAATTGAAAACAAAACCCAACCAAAGAAGTCAGTACGCACAACTGACTCTATTTTTCAATTAATTCATATGGATCTAGTGGGACCCCTAAAACCATCTATCAAATACAAAAAGAGATTCTTCCTAACTATAGTAGATGACTACAGCTGCTGTGGCTTCGTATACACTCTCAAACATAAAAATGAGGAATATAAAAAATTCAGGGAATTCTACAAAAGAGTAGAGGTCCAACATAACACAAAAATAAAACAAATAATGACTGACAGAGGTTCTGAATTCCTATCAAGGGACTTCTCTAGGTGGTTAAAGGAACATGGGATATTACACTATACATCATCACCGTTCTCCACATTCCAGAATGGAGTAGCGGAACAAAAAAACAGCACATTACAAACAATGATGAGATGCACCTTGGAAGATGCAGGGTTAGGGAAATCATTTTGGTCAGAAGCCCTTCTCTATTCCAATTATACCCTCAATAGGCTGTGGTCTAGTGTAACAAACACAACTCCCTACGAACTAATGTATGGAAGGAAACCAAATATAGCCCACCTACACATCTTTGGGGTCACAGCAGACATTCCCAAACAATTAAGGAGAAAGGGGGATAAAGTGTCCAGAAGACTTAGGTTCATGGGGTATGAATCGGGAACCAAAGGGTACAGATTCATAGATAATCAGAATAGGTTCATCTAGATCGGCTGATTTCCACGAGCACGCTAATTGGTCTAAAATTCATTTAAATGAAGTATTTCACACACCCCGTTTAACAAATAACCAACAGGGCATAGATATCAAAGAGGATAGGAAACTACAGAGAGTCAAACCTAGGCACCAAAATATCAGTACTAGTGGGTGGAAGGAGAATCATCCAACACTAAAGGTAGATGCACTCACCGAAAAGGAAGCCAGGTACTTACACGAATCAATCATGACCCCAGATAGACCAATAAGAACAAACAGAAACAAAAGACCCAACAAATTCAAAGACTTCATCATGTCCATACACACAGACAGTCCAACACCAAATTTATATGAGGAAGTGCTAAAGTTACCCCTAGAAGAGAGGACAAAGTGGGAACAAGCAATGGAGAAAGAAATGATTAGCCTCAAGGAACTAGATGTATACACACTCTCCAAAGTTCCAGATGGTAAAAACACAATTGGAACTAAGTGGATATATAAGATCAAAACTCTAGATGACAATAAAACATTATACAAGGCAAGGCTAGTGGCACAGGGGTTTGCCCAAAAATATCCGGAAGACTACACAGACACATACTCCCCCACTGTCAGAGCTGAAAGTGTCAAAACTGCATTAGTAGTAGCCTCCATTTTAGGGCTAGACATGTACCAATTTGATGTACTGACCGCATATCTACATGCCAAGCTAGACAAAATGATCTATGTTAAGGCACCACCAGGAATAAAAGCACAAGAAGGTAACACATGGCTTCTGAACAAGAGTCTGTACGGACTCAAACAATCAGGAAAGCGGTATGAATGCTTGGCCAACATCCTCAGAACAATGGGCTTCACAGCCACATCAGTGGACATTTGTTTTTTCACAAGGGGAGAGAAGGACTCTGTTGAGTATGTCCTCATTTACGTGGACGACATACTATACATAGGCAAACAGAAACATAAAGGTGACACATTTGCCAAAGAATTGAATAAACACTTTTCTCTAAAGACACTAGGCAAGATAAAAAAATACTTAGGGGTTCATATCATACAAACCCAAAAAGGTTTCCAACTTTCGCAAGAAGAAAAAATCTTGGAGCTGATAGGAAAATGCAACATGAGTGAAGCCAAACCTTGCAATACGCCCATGCAACCCGAATTCCTCAAAAACATGCATAACGAGGGTGAGACATTTACAGACAACAAGCTATACAGATCAACTATAGGATCCTTACTATATATCGCAAACCGGACTAGACCAGACATGCTTTACCCGTCAATCTCCTATCCAGATATGTTGGCAAACCCACTACCTATCATTGGGAGGCAGTAAAGAGACTCCTCAGATATCTAAAATATAGCTCAAATGCATACCTAGTATTCGAGCCAAAAATCTCCAAGGAACCCGTACTCTCCTGCTATGCGGATGCTGACTGGGCAGGAGACATAAAGAGCAGGAAAAGCACATCTGGATACATCTTTTTTCTCAATAACAGCCCTGTCCATTGGTACACTGGCAAACAGAACTTGGTTGCCACATCTACCACTGAAGCTGAATTCGTATGTATGTCCAAGGCCACAAACAATCTGACCTGGTTCGATGATTTATTAACCATCATTTGGACTGAACCATCATACCTCATCATCATTCATGAGGACAATAAAGCAGCTATTGAGATATCCAAGGCAGATGCAGTAGATCAAAGGTTGAGACATATAGACATTAAACATAAACATGTAAGGCAACTCTCTAACATTAGATTTATCAAAGCCATTCATTGCGAAACAGAAGAACAGATAGCCGACATACTCACGAAACCTCTATAGAATAAACAACACACTTATTTAAGATCCAAATTAGGCGTATATTTGTAACACAACTGTTTACCGACACTACTAGTTAGGCATTTAGAGGGGGTTTTGTCACATATAAATGCCTCACTCATGTGTCACCTACTGTTTGGCATTGCAAGGGTTAACACTTACACCCTCATCCCCCATAACCACTCCTCCTTACCTTTGACCACGCCTCCCTGGTACTTAAAACAGGCACACGAGGCACTGGACAGTTCGATGCTCCACCTGTGAGAGAACAGAGTTGGATTAATAAATATGATTGATCATACCAATGACTCAGAGTATTTCTTGGGCTAGATCCTCGTACATTAACATATTATACTTACCCTGAGTGATGTTCCTTGGTGAAAGAAACGTCAACCAACTCTTCCAGAGCTCGAGTTCTCCCCAGGCCTGATAAATCTCAGGACTTCCTTGTATTTTTCTTTGTTCCCTGGATTGTTGTTTAATATTAATAGTAGTATTCATATTATAAGATGTAATAATGATAGCAATAATTTTGGTCATTTCCAACACAGTCAATATTCATGACATTGTAGGATCAAAGATAAGTCCACAAATGAATTTTATGCCTAAAAGCATTCAGTCTAAAATGTTATATTAGAGAGAGAGACTAGGAACTAAGGGAAGCAGGAAGAGCAGAGTTTTAACTTTAGACAATAAAGTTGTGGATATTTTAGCTTTAATTCTCATTAAGAACTAATTGAGGATTATTCTTGCCAGCCTCCAATTAGCCTTGTAATTTTCAGTAAACAAATCATCAAGCTCCCCACCAGTTGTACTTCTGCATTTTTAGAGCTTTTTTACTTCCTCATATCATAAAAAATCCAAAACATGTTTTCCTTTGTGAATGGAGTTATTTGGTTTGACAATAACCAAAGAAGCTTGAAGTTTGCTAATGTCCCAGAATTTGCTCACTGTCTCAGTTTGTGACAGCACTTACTTATAGAATAAAGAGAAGGGGAAGAGACCATTGAGTTGGGAATTACACATTTCTGGTGGAGACTGACAGGACTGCATTTATTTCTTCTCATCTCCTTATTTCTTTTTTCTACCATAGAATATAAGAAAAAATACGGTGAAGAGCATGGCTCATGTCAGGCTGGAATAGCAGGTTTCTTCACAGAGGTGAGTGGTGCAGCATTGTGAGAAGGCTTCAGTATGGAATAAAAAGTTTGTTTGCCTTTGATTTACTTGATTAGTTCTATACACTCATTATTACATGCATACATACCATTCCCTTTCAGAATAAACAATACAATGTACAGAGAAGAAAGAAGAACTCCATACTCTTTAAAGTAGCTTCTACATCTGCTTTCTTCATTCTCTTTCCTAGATTAAGCTATCCCCTTTTCTTAAGGCTTGTTCTTCCTGCTGTCATTCTGCTTTTGCTTTTTTAAATTTCTTTTCATTTTTGCAATGCCCATTTTTCTCCCAATATCCACCTTGACATGTCAAAAATAGCTTGTTCCCATTCAGTACCTAAAATAATCATTGGATCTTCACTAATTTTCACAACCTTGCATTATAAAATCTCATTTCAATCATGCTTTTAGATTTATGTTAATTTCTTTTTCGTGTACATGTATGAAAAGACTTATGTTTAAACCATGTAACTGAAACAGATCTTTTTCTAGACAAATATTCAGCAATCTCCATTCATTTTTGAGTTTCCTTTTTCTGTACTTTCTTATCTCATTCCTACCCATCCATTCAGTGGTGAAATGTAAAATTTGTTACTACTGGTTCTGTGGGTGTGGCTTGGGGGGGTAATGTGACTGGGTGGGCATGGCCAATTTTTTTTTTTAAACTTTTAAAATCATTTTTTCTATAACCTCTTCGGCCGAAGAGGTTTAAAAAAAATGCTTTTAAAAGCCTCTGCCGATCAGGCAACTCAGCCGGGATCATCAGAGGCTTTTAAAAGCATTTTTTTCTACAAACTCTTCGGCCGAAGAGGTTGTAGAAAAAATGCTTTTAAAAGGCTCTGACGATCCCAGCTGAGCCGCATGATAATCAGGGGCTTTTTTTTTTAAATCATTTTTTTGGCTGAAGAGATTGTAGAAAAAATACTTTTAAAAATTAAAAAAAAAGCTTCTGATGATTGCGCGACTCAGCTGGGCATGGGGGTTGGGCAGGGATTTTTGCTACTGGTTCTCTGAACCACCTGCCACCATCGCTACCGGATCGCGTGATCCGGTCCGAACCGGGAACATTTCACCCCTGCATCCATTCCTATCATATAATAGATTATTTCCCCAGATTTCATTAAAGTTGCACAATTTTTTAAAGCAAAACTTATCTGTTTTTTTGCATTAATACCATTTTCCAGCAAGTAAAAAACATAAAACTATTGCAAGCCTATGGATTCCCACTTAATAAAAAACTATATAACAACTTGTATGATTCCAAATATCATGTTCTGACATGTATTTTAATCCTATATTCATATTTTTATAATATCTTTATTAAATTTCAGAATCAAATATCAAAATACACATTTTATATTAAAGGAAAAGGAAATAAAACAAAATTAAAGTGACAAAAATTAAATTTATAACAAAAATAACTCTTTATAACAAACTTTATAACAAAAATAATTCTTTTATTCCACAAATAATATCAATACAACAACGTTTCTATATATTTAAAAAATACTAATCTTTAAAATCAACATTCCAAAAATCCACTATTCCTAAATTATTCTTCTCTTAATTGTAATCTCATGCATAATAAATTGTCAAATGTAAATAAATTTATATTTAACAAAACAATATTTCTATAGTCAAATTCAATCTAATCCTCAAATTACAAAGTCAAAAGTTGATAAAAGTCTTGTAAGAAATCGTATAGTGATCTCCAAGTCACAAAAAATTAAAATAAGTCATTCATGAAAAAAATGTCATGATAGCTAGCTGCATTACGTTCAAACTCCATTCTTCCAAGGTGGGTTGTATTTTTCTTTCCAGTTATGGGCCTATATGCCCATAACTGCCAATGTCATATATAAAGTCCCATGTTTTTCTTTCCAGCTGCTTTTCTGTCATTCCTAAAAAAATCCATTTTCATAATATTCTCAACCATCATAAATATCTGATTACAAAACGTTTTAGCTTTCCTACAGATCCACCCAATATGATAAAAGCATCTTCAGATTGATTACATTTCCAATATTTGTTGAGATTCTCTTATATATCTTGTACAATTTATCTAGATTTGAATACCATTGATACATCATTTGTAAAATATATATTCATTTACCCCCTCTTTGTAGGGTCAGGACACCTTCATTTAGATCTATCTTTATCTTTCTCTTAGTTGCGCACTTATACAATATATGCTTTTATTCCTCCATTTCCTCCATTAATTCACACGTTTTACCATCTATTTGGATTTGGTGCCTATAGTTCAGAACTATTTATTCTGAGTGATAGTGGCATTTCAGGGTTGTGAAAAGGATACCTCCTAAATGTATGAGGATTGTACCTGGGGCATTTTACATTTAAATAATGCTGACGAGCTTCCTTCGGCCAGGCCTCCATCACTCCTAACATTGATCAGCTGGAGGACTATAGGTGAATTCACTAGAAGTATGATATAATTATTGAAAGGGATATGTTTTTTGTCTTTTTTCTCTTTTGAATGTAAGGAGTTGAGCATGGCAACAGGATTAAGAAGCTTCTAGGACAGTGATAGTTAACCTTTTCGGCACTGAGTGCCGAAACTGGAGTGTGCATATGCTGGAGTGTCAGAACCTGGAAGAGAGCAGCTGGCCGGTGTGCATGCACGTCAGACCAGCTGGCCGGTGCGCATGTGCGCAACGGAACCTGGAAGAGCAGCTGGCGACAATGCGTGTGCCCACAGAGAGGGCTCTACGTGCCACCTCTGGCACGCGTGCCATAGGTTCGCCATCACGGTTCTAGGAGGTAAATTGCTCTCCTTAGATAACTTGGACCATTGTGGGGAGTGGGGATTTCCCCTCCCCATTTCTATGTTCTGTTTCGTTAGAACTATAGTTCTGTGAGACTGTACCCATTTTATTATTTATTTATTATTTATTTATTTGTTAATGAGATTTATATGCCGCCCTATCTCCAGCTGACTCAGGGCGGCTCACAACAGTCAAGAAACATCTAATAAAAAGTTAAAAAAATAAATCCAAACTTCATAATTTAACAGTTAAAAGTACAATTAAGACTAACAAGTTAAAATTAAATTAGAATTAAAACCCCATCAGTCCAAGCAGGCCAAATGAAACAGCCACGTTTTCAGGTCGCAGCAGAAAGAGCGGAGGTTGGGGGCCACCCGGAGCTCCAGGGGAAGTTGATTCCAAAGGGTAGGTGTGCCCACAGAGAAAGCCCTCCCCCTGGGGGTCGCCAGCCGACACTGTCTGGCCGATGGCACCCTGAGGAGGCCCTCTCTGTGGGAACGCACCGGGCGATGGGAAGCTGTTGCTGGCTGCAGATGGTCCCCCAAATATCCCGGGCCTAAGCCATGTAGGGCCTTATAGGTAATCACCAGCACCTTGAATCTCACTCGGAGGGCAACCGGCAACCAATGCAAGTCGCATAGGAGAGGTGTAACATGGGAGTGTCAGGATATTCCCATCACAACCCGTGCGGCCGCATTCTGCACCAGCTGAAGTCTGGATGAAGTCTACATGTAGAACAACCTAAATTCAACCTTTTTAAAGAACAAAAAACAAACCCCTCAGTGTGAGAAATCCGAAGAGCTCTTCTCAATCAGAAAATATACATTGGATTGATGGACAAGTCCTTTGTCCTGGTAACTTTTCTGAACTGCAGTTGAGATACTGGCCATTTTTTGTATGACAGCCATATGGCTTGAGTAATGTCTAACTCTGACATAGCTATATCTAATTTTCAAGGCAACTTTGCATTTTGCCTGATGGGTTTAATTACCGTATTTTTTGGAGTATAAGACACACTCTCCCCCCCCCAGAGGCTGAAAATTTGGGTGCATTTTATACTCTGAATGTAGCTTTTTCAAAGCTTTTTTATAGCCCTAATGAGGCGCTAGTGAGTGAAGTGATTTTCTTCACTTTGCCTGCTCCCTCTGTAGAAGCTTTTTTCAGCCCTAACGAGGCACTAGTGAGTGAAGCGATCTTCTGAGCTTCACCTGCTTTTCTCATTGCTCCTCTCTCCAGCTGTGCTTTAGAAATTGTTTTTTATCCCCAAGCTGGGGATAAAAAGTGCGTGCACGTGCTCAAAACCAGCAAACTAATGTGCTGAAGCTGACCAGACTAAGAACACTAGCCAGATGAATACCTGGTAGGCAGATCTTTTCCCCCCCCCCCCATTTTCCTCCCCCAAAACTAAGCTGCGTCTTATACTCCGGTGTGTCTTATACTCCAAAAAATACCAGTACTTTGGATCTTGTAAACAAAATTTACGTCATGGTGTTCAAAACAGTCTGATAGGATCTTTCTAGGACTAGGTTAATCAGAAATGGGTGGCAACCTTCGTGATGAAGTGTTTGATCATCAGTGCAATGTCAGTAGCAGCTGTTTCTTGGCTTGTCAGCATTATCAAGCCTGCTTCTTTTCCCATGCTTTGAATTCCCCACCCCTGCCTGTTCCTCATTCAGAAGATGGCTTTGAACTTTCAGTGCAGAGCATCAATCTTTAGCCAGTGAACAATAAGCAGGAAATGTAGATAAAGGGTCTCTGGATTAAACAGGCAAGTATCTAATATAGGAGCACTCAGTCCTACTTATTCAATTTTCTTCTCAAAGAAAGGTTGTCCCTGAATGATAGCCACCCACCAAAATACTGCACATTTAATTGCTTCTGGGTTTATATATATTAAAACAACCATTGGCCTGCAGCTATTTCCCTGGTCTGCCAGAGGAGATAGAGACAGTTTAGAGAATTTAGAAATGTGAACTCTTGTGAGGGCTTGTGACAATAGACAAAAGGGGCTTAAAAAAGAAATAGAATTCTTCTTTCTCACTACCAGGCCTTAGTATTTATGATATACTCTGCATAAATAAATCGGTATTCTTTCCAATACTTGCTACCTCTGAGCACAGATTTCATATATACCTTTAATTATATGCAGAGGATAAACATGCCCAGAGTCGTTCAATAGTGAAATGGGTGGCATGTAATTTAATATAAACATAAATTAAGAACAGTTGTGGAATGAGAATTGACTGGTCTAATACAAAAGTAGTGTTCACTGTCAAATTTAAAGGTAAGAAATTGCATTTTAGTTTTTTTTTAAATGTTTAATTCTGTTTTATGTATAGAAGTTTGTTTTTTTTTGAGTCAGTACATTAATTCTGAAGAAGAATAAGTATCTATTTCACCTGTGGTTCAAACTGATGATTGGCTTAGGGGTTGGTGACTCCCTCCTTCCTTAGTTTACATCCAGATCAGGATTTGGGCAGTTCATACCAGGACATTGCACATCCTGAGCACACAAGCAGACTTACTTGATCCTAAAGAACTTTCTGCCTGCTATGGTGGTTCCTGTCTTGCTGCAATATAAGGGTGATAGGAGCGGGAAGGGTAGATCGAAATCTAGTACCTGACATGGAGACTGTAGCCGAGTGCAACAGAGGGAATCAGTGGCAGAATTTCCCAATTCTATTACAATACTGTACAATGGTAAAGTGGATTTCCTGTAGTCCTTGAAGAAAACATCAAAATCAACAGATACAAAAGCAGCACATACTGTATAATTAAAACCAAGTAGATGATAAAGAGTGAATATGATAGACGTACACACTATTTAATGGGGATTCTGCTCATTCTGGTCCAAAGTCCTGAAAGAAGAGCCAGATGTCTTCTGAAAGGCCAGTAGAATCAGGATATTTGTTGGAGTGGAGTAGAGTAGGAGAGAATCAGATTATTCTATTACACTCTTTTCTACATTTTCAGAACTTTCATTCCCCATGACTTCAGTATATTTTCTGTTTCTGGATTTAGTTATGCATAAGGAATCTCAAATATTTATTTCCATTGACTAAAGAGATTTAACATGACAAAACTCTTCTTTTGATAGGAGTTGGTTATCATGGGAGCTCCAGGGTCTTACTATTGGACAGGAACGATCAAAGTATTGAATCTCACTGATAATACATATTTTAAGCTGAAAGATGAATCTGTGATAGCCAAACGTTACGTATATCTAGGTAAGCAAAGCACAACAATTTTCAAATTGTTATTGGTTTTGAATATTGATGGTAAATAGATACCCACATGCATAAGTGTACAGGCAGTGAAACCTAAGAATTCTGGAATTCTCAGAGGTGAAAACTCCAGGAATGGCATCTCTGGAAAGTTTGGATTCAGGAATTTGTCCACTCCCAGCCCTGACTACAATGTTGCATGTGCACAATAAAAAAAATCTAGTAACTTATTCTGGATTGAAGGATTTGTAGTTGCTTTAACAGTCTCTGTTAGAAAAATCTTAGTACCCTTGTTGTTAGTTGCGAAGTCATGTCCAACCCATCGCAACCCCATGGACAACGTTCTTCCAGGCCTTCCTGTCCTCTACCATCCTCTGGAGTCCATTTAAGATCATGCCTACTGCTTCAGTGACTCCATCCAGCCACCATAATTCAAAGGCCTCAATTCTTTGGCACTCAGCCTTTCTTATGGTCCAACTTTCACAGCCATACATTGCAACTGAGAAAAACATAGCCTTGACTATAGACACTTTTGTTGGCAGGGTGATGTCTCTGCTTTTTAGTATGCTGTCTAGATTTGCCATAGCTTTTCTCCCCAGGAGCAAGTGTCCTTTTTTTTTTTTTTTTTGATTTGATTTATATGCCGCCCTTCTCCGGAGACTCAGGGCGGCTTACAGTGCATTAAGCAATAGCCTTCATACTTTTGTATATTTATACAAAGTCAGCTTATTGCCCCCACAAACTGGGTCCTCAATTTACCTACCTTAGAAAGGATGGAAGGCTGAGTCAACCTTGAGCCTGGCGAGATTCGATCTTACTTTAATTGCAGACAGCTGGTGTTAAATTACAGTGCTTCTGTCTGTTGAGCTAAACCAGGCTCCTTTTAATTTCTTGGCTGCAGTCCCCATCTGTGGTGAAGACTAAATATAGTACTCTTAGACGACTGCAAATCCCAAAGGGAAGCTAAAATTGATAGTAAGTCATTTACAGAATATATATGTGATCTTGGTCTTAACCTATGGCCTTTGTTAAAATCATTATTACATGTTTGGAAAATGAATAAATAATCCTGACTTAAAGAAGTCCTTTTTCAATGATTTATTGTTCCATGAAAATATGCTAGGGTAATAGGGGAATGTAAGCATTATTTATTAGTAAGGCTTAGAAACATCTATTTAAAAATGCAGTCAGTATCACAGGAGAAATGTTAATTCCTCTAATCACTTCTGTCGAGTTCTGAGTTGTGCTGATTATGGCAAATCTCTGCTTTCTGTAAGTCTTGATGTGTTAAGTCCTCATCTGTGGTGGATCTCTTCTTCAGTCGACTATTGCTTGCTTGTTTCTTTGGTTAGAAAAAGACATAGGGGTTTTCTCTTCGAAAAAATATGAAAATTAATATTTGTAATGCAGGTAAAAGGCCTGTAATTCACAGTATAAAGGGAGAAAGAGACCTTTCAAGTATATTGTTTTACAAGGAAAAGGAGTTGAACATTAAAGAGTGTTCCTGTCTCATAATGTATCATTTTAGAGAGGCAAATAAAATCATATTATTGACCTTTCAGATAAATCTTTTGCCTCTTTCAGTTACATTTTGTTTTATTTTGTTTAAATCCAAATTGACTTGTGTTCATTCTCTTTTTCCACATACTTTATATTTTCTATATTTTCACTGAGAAATATGTAAACATTTTAACATGTCACTATTACAAGTAGTTGCAATTTACTGATATGGTGATGCACAAATTTCTATTTGATTTGGGGAAAGTTGCACAAAAAACAGTTTCTTTACACATTCAGCATTAGAAATCAGCGGGACCATTGCTTACACAGAAAGTACAACGTGATTAAAATCCTGTACCTTTGTTACAATTTAAGCTGTAGCTACATGGCTTCCCATGTAGCTTTTGTTTCGTGAATCAGGTCACAGCATTGACCTCCATGAATTTGTTTAATCACTCAGTAAAGTCAACCAAGTTTCTAACTCATTATATTTTGTGGTGAGTTATGCTGTTCCACCTGGATCTATGTGAATAATTTCTTTTTAATTGACTTTAATATCTCATAATCCATTTTCATTTGAGGAGCATGGATTATAGTATTTTGGGAATTGGAGAAAAACTTTAGTTATCCATGTATTCCATATGTTGCTTATTTTTTTAACATCTGCTATTTCCAGTATTCAATTCAATCAATAATGTGGTAGAAATTATCTGTTTTACACTTGAAAAACTGTTTGCTTTTCAGTTCTAGTACTCTTCTTCCCTTTTATTGCCTTGCTTTTAATTTGTTCAATAATAACTATCAACTGTTCTGATACCTTTTCTTACTTAAATTATTGTTCTTATGTGTCTCCTGCTTACATCTTTACCACCTTATTGTTAGGTAAAACTTGTTTGTTATTTCAATCCTGGAATGGTGAGTTTACAGTTCCAGAAAAGTAAAGCTTTTACAGAATTTGAAGGTGTTTTGCTTAAGTTTAACTTCCACTCTGAGAGAAGGGGAAAATGCTTTATCCCAATAAATGACCTAAGTCTTGGCCCCATTTCCCTTTTTTTTTTTTTTGGCTGATATTTTTGGTCATTTTTTCTCTCTGCTTGTCCACCCTAAAAATGACCCGCTCAGGATATGCAGTGACAGCAGGTCACTTCTCTCAACTGATGACCACGGACGTCGTTGGAGGAGCTCCCCAGGATGGAGGCATTGGAAAGGTTTGGCTGTTGATCAAACTTCAGCTCATAGTTTATCCAAGGGAAAATGGACAAGAAGTGTGGGGCTGCAGCAGTTTGAAGAACATTCCTGAAAATATTTCATTGCCAATAACAGAAGGAGGATAATTAACGATATCTAGTTTGTTCAAGACTTTCCTTGTCTTGTGGTCCTACTCTCATTGTTCTGAGAATCTCCTCACCCATTTTCTAGCAGCAGCAGCAGATAGAGAAACCTTCCTTTTTAAAAATCACAATTCATTTTAAATTCAAGCTGTGACTATCATGTATATAATCATTTTCAGTGAACACTTGGTAGTAATCAAGACCAAAGATTTAGAAAATCTTTGTATTACCCAATTCAATATTGTTTATTCAAGTTAGCTATAGTTTTTCATAGACTCTAGCAGAATTTATTTTTTAATCAGGAACTTCCACATTCCTAATTAGGATGTCCTAATAAGCCATAGATTTCCATCCTTTAGAGTGAGTTGAAGCATAAAAATCGCTACTATATGCAATCTGTATAGTTGTGCAAAGACTGCATTTAACCTCTAATTTATGTTAATCATTTTTGATAAGCCTGAAACGAATCAGAATCACTTTTGCAGATAAGCAAAGCATAAAAGTGAAGTACTTAGATCTTGGGTTTTTTCCCTACCTTTTTTGACTGCCATTCCCTAATGTTCTCATGGATTAGATAGATACAGCAGAAACATAACATAGAAGTAAACCGGAAAACCACAAACAAGCCCATGTTTTTACATCTCACTAAATACACAGTTGAAATCAGGAAGCTAACCACAAACCTTGCTTTCTAACTGATTTTTCTGCTGTACTGTGGCATATTCATGGATCTCCATTTCTACATCACCCAGAGCCAAAAACAAAGTTATAGCTTTGTATAGCCACATGTTTCCCCAAGTCTAGGAAGGAATTTGATCTTTAATATAGAGCACTGCAATATATGATCCAGGATAGTAATGCTGTATCAGCTACGGAGCTGTATGGAGGCCTAACTGTTTAATTGCTACTCTACTACAGTAAGCAAGATAGTTGTGAGGCTCTATAGCATATCTTTTAGGTCAAGAGCAAGTACTGAATTGTAAGCCAGTATACTTTACTGGCTTACTTTAATAGGCAAACAGCCCAACTACTGCTGAGTAGACATCTCATATACATCTCATCTCATATTTTTTGAACATGGGTTACCCATTAACCCTCTAAAGTAGATTGCTGTTACTATCTTCAAATATTTGGAATGAAGGATGATAGCTACCTAAATCTACCTAGTTTGACTACAATGAAATGTGAATCATATTTTTTTAAATTGTAATTTTTAGTTTGTACTTTTAACAATTAAAGCTATAAACCAGCACAATATTTCAGGCACTAAAGCTTTCTGGAGAAAAATATGTATGACAAATAATTATTATCAATATTTACACCAGAAAAACAGTCTCCTTGTGAATAAACTTAGTCATGCAATGTGTTTAGTATATTCTTAGTCTTTAAATACATCTCATTTTTGTAATTAGTATCCTTAGTGAGTATCAGTGCACTGCAGATACCTCCTTGTTCATGGAATGTCCTAGCTTGGAAGATAGTCTCTTGATTAGAATTCCAACTTACATAAAATAATGTGATTGTGCTTGTGATAAAACTAGATTGTGCTTACTATTAACAGGGTATGCTGCATGGCGCATGGAAATGACTGAGCCGAGTAACTTAATCTAAACCTTCTCCATCTTACTAAAATACATTTTGTGAAAGCTTTAATTAACCAGTGTCATGATGGATGTGAGAGATTAATATATGTGGGCCTATTTGCTTGTGGTAATTTGGAAGATTGTGGTACATAAGAGGAGTAAATTATAAAGAATACAAATGAGTTGAGGAAAAGTAGACCACATATAACTGTGAAACTAAAAATGAGAATGATATAATAACCCTGAATGAAAGTAGTCAAATCTTTGGAATTGTGGAATACATCTATAGAAATAAAATTATATGTTTATGAGTAAAAGAGCTAAAATGTTTGACAGAAACTATGATTTGACATCTTCTAGATTGTGGATATGTGTGAAATAGGGATCCATTACATAGTCATGGCTGCACATTGTTCTTGAGTGAATGGTAATAAAAGAAGAGTCAGGAGTTTTACAGAAAATAGTATAACATTCAAAATCCATCAGATCTAGGGGGAAAAATCTGTTGGTTTCATGGATAAATGCATAAGGAAAAGAGCGGAGCAAAGTTTAGTGAGTGGTCTATTCACTCAAGTCTCAAGAATTAATGAGATAATGACCATATACTTTGGTGTGCATTCGGTTAAAGAATTGTTTATTGAAAAAATGTGAGCATGATACTAGTCATGCACATATAAAGTATATATGCGTGAATGAAAAACTATGATTATTTAGTTTGTTTATGATGAAATTAAGAGAATTAGTGAAGGAGGCAAGAGTAGTGAGAAATTGTAACTTCTTTATTTAGTAGTTTCAAGGGTAGATGTTGAGAAGAAATCAATGTGGAAAAAATGAAAAACAAAAAGAATAAATGTAATAGCTGCAAGGAAAAAAGTTCGTAATGTGTGTGGAAAAAAGATTAGAAAATAAATTGATTTATCAAGAGACTAGATGGAAACTGAAAGAGGCTATGGAAATTGTTGGGAACAGATTGAAAAGAATGATGGTACAGAAAACTAAAAAGATGTGATTGAGAATTTATATAAGAGAAAGATTGCTGTAAAAAATTAAATATATTTTATAAAGTGTAGTTACAGTGAATACTCAATGAAAGAAAGGAACACTTAGAAGGGGAGAAAATATGCAAAACAAGTTTGATGGGCGTTTTAAAAAAATGGCAGTGGATGAAAAAAACTAAACAAACCTCTAGGAGAGGAAACAAAATAAAAAATGCTGAAATGATTTAAAAAAACAAACACCAAGAAGCAATGGATGGAAGCTAACCAAGGAAAGAAGCAACTTAGAACTAAGGAGAAATTTCCTGATAGTGAGAACAATCAATCAACCAGTGGAATGAGTTGTTTTCAAAAGTTGTGGGTGCTCAGTCACAGAAGAGACTGGACAGCTACTTGTCTGAAGTGGTATAGAGTCTCCTGCTGGAGCGTGGGGTTGGACTACAAGACGCCCAATGTCCCTTCAACTCTTTTGTTCTGTGTTCTTTGATTTAAGATGAGGAAATTTTATAGAAAGGAGTATAAAAATAATGATATGTTGAACAATGGAATTGAAATATATATTGTGTTAGTCTCCAATAAAAAATAAATGAAAGAGAAATCATAACTGTTGAGAAATGTAAGTGTACCTCAAACAGCAGACTATATGGATATAATTTGCTTATAGCATCTTGTAGCACCTTTCATGACTAACAAATTTTATAAAAAGACATAAATGTTTGTGATATGTTGTGCTTACTTTATTATCTTTATTATTTATCATCTGAATGATAAAGTGAGCTGGAATTAACAAAAATTTTGGTTTTTAACAAAATGTATTAATTGAAGAAGATGCTACCAGACTGTTTCTGATCTTTTGCCTCTGAATTAATAACTTGGATGCTTATGAAGAGGCTGAGTGACTTATTTAATGTGTGCATGAAGAGTTCATTTGTACTTGATGATTCGAAGAATGCCATTACTTTTCCCCTTTAGAGAAGGGAAAGTAACAAGAGTACATGTAAAACCATGTGACTTAACATTTGTTAAATATATCTGGGAATGAGTATGGTAGAATTCTAATTAAAGGATGCAAGAAGTGACAGCGATTAAAACTGTATGATAGGAGTGATTCGTCAAACCAATTTTTGTTCTCTACAGAATACAGAATAACATTTGGAAAGGACCTTGAAGGTTTTCTAATCCAACCTCCTGCTCAAGCAGGAGACCATATGCAATTCTTTTTAAAAACTGATCTGATAAACAAGAGTGCGTGAAGAACTATGGATGGAGGTTCGCAACATTGTACAAGAGGTAGCAATTAAAACTATCCCAAAGAAAAAGAAATGCAAGAAAGCAAAAAGGCTGTCTGAGGAAGCTTTGCAAATAGCTGAGGAAAAAAAGGAAGCGAAAGGCAAGGGAGAAAGAGAAAGATACACCCAATTGAATGCAGAATTCCAGAGAATAGTTAGAAGAGATAAGAATGCATTCTTAAATGGACAGTGCAAAGAAATAGAAGAAAACAATAGAATAGGGAGGATCAAATATCTCTTAAAGATATGAAGGGAACGTTTCATGCAAAGATGGGCATGATAAAGGACCAAAATGGATTTATCAGAGGCAAAAGAGATTAAGAAGAGGTGGCAAAATTACACAGAAGAACTATACAAGAACGAGCTTAACATCCCTGATAACCACGATGGGGTGGTCACTCATCTCGAGCCAGACATCCTAGAATGTGAAGTCAAACAGGCTTTAGGAAATCTGAGCAACAACAAAGCTAGTGGAGGTGACAGTATTCCAGCTGAGCTATTCAAAATCTTAAAAGATGATGAAAGTGCTACGCTCCATTTGCCAGCAAATTTGGAAAACTCAACAGTGGCCACAGGATTGGAAAAGGTCAGTTTACATTCCAATTCCAAAGAAAGCAATGCCAAAGAATGTTCAAACTATTGCACCATTGCACTCATTTCACATGCTAGTAAAGTTATCTTACAAGCTAGGTTCCAGTAGTATGTTGATCGAGAACTACCAGAAGTACAGGCAGGATTTCGAAGAGGCAGTGGAACTAGAGATCAAATTGCCAACATACGCTGGATCATGGAGAAAGCTAGGGAGTTCCAGAAAAACATCTGCTTCATTGACTATGCTTGATTGTGTGGATCACAACAAATTGTGGCAAGTTCTTAAAGAGATGGGAGTACCAGACCATTTTATTTGTCTTTTGAGAAATCTATATGCGGGTCAAGAAGCAACAGTGAGAACTGGACATGGAACCACTGATTGGTTCAAAATTGGGAAAGGAGTCTGGCAAGGTTGTATACTGTCACCCTGCCTATTTAACTTCTATGCAGACCACATCATGAGAAAGGCGGGGCTAGATGAATCAAAAGTTGGAATTAAGATTGCCGGGAGAAATATCAACAATCTCAGATATGCAGATGATACCACTCTAATGGCAGAAAGCGAAGAGGAATTAAAGAGCCTCTTGATGTGGGTGAAGGAGAGTGCAAAAGTTGGCTTGAAACTCAACATTAAGAAAACTAAGATCATGGCATTCGGCCCTCTCAATTCCTGGCAAATAGATGGGAAAGAAATGGAAGTAGTGACAGATTTTATTTTCTTGGGCTCCAAGATCACCACAGATGGGGACTGCAGCCAAGAAATTAAAAGATGCTTGCTCCTGGGGAGGAAAGCTATGGCAAATCTAGACAGCATTCTAAAAAGCAGAGACATCACCTTGCCAACAAAAGTGTGTATAATCAGGGCTATGGTTTTCCATTTGCAATGTATGGCTGTGAAAGTTGGACCATAAGAAAAGCTGAGTGCCAAAGAATTGAGGCCTTTGAACTATGGTGCTGGAGAAGACCGATCAAACCGGTCAGTCTTCGAGGAGATCAACCCTGACTGCTCTTTAGAAGGCCAGATCCTGAAAATGAAACTCAAATACTTTGGCCACCTAATGAGAAGAAAGGACTCACTGGAGAAGAACCTAATGCTGGGAAAGATTGAGGGCAAAAGAAGAATGAGGTGGCTGGATGGAGTCATTGAAGCAGTAGGCATGAACTTAAATGGATTCCAGAGGATGGTAGAGGACAGGAAGGCCTGGAGGAACATTGTCCATGGGGTCGCGATGAGTCAGACATGACTTCGCAACTAAGAACAACAACAAAAAAGGCACTGTAGAGAACTTTGGATTCTAACCAGCTGGATGTTCCTCTATTATCAGTTAGGAGAACATCCTCTTCATTTCTCATAGGAACCATGAATAGAAAATATCCAGTTTAGGACATCTCTATTTTAGAAAGCTAAATTGAATTATAAATAGGAAAATAATCTGATTGCTATTTCAATAATTTTGTCCTATCCCCTTTGGATAAACTTTTATAAAGAAACTTTAAAAGTATCCTTTCTTTGTATGTAGGGAAGTCATGAAATCCACTGTTCTATATTGAACAGGTAGTGCAACAAGCATGATGTCTTCTTTGTTCAAAATATTTATGGATAAATGTGTAAGGCATGATTGTGATGACATTAGAGCCGAATCAGATTGGATCATGATGCCTTGTTTTTAATCATAATCTTGAATGATATTCAGCAAATATATTGTATGATGCAGCGAGGAAAATGATATGAAAAGTAAAGTATCAAAGATCAAAGTAGTTGTGTTTGTCAGGAAAAAACTAAGTGAATGAATGAAAACTACATATCAATATTAAACTAGAGGAGGTAGAACAATTTGTTTATGTTCAAAATGAGAAATTAGAGAAGAATTTTAAGAATTTAAATCTGGTGAAATGACAGTATGTAGTAAGCTGTGGATAGACTACTGCAAGGAATGAATGGTGAGATAGACAAAAAGGGCTGTGAATAAAATGGTGTTATTTTCATGTATGAAAGTGAAAGTTAAATATATCAGGAAAAACAAAATTGAATATAGTCAAAATGATGTATTTAAGCAAAATAATATAGAATAAAAAATAAATGAAGGCTGAATGAATGTTGATTAAATAGTAAAATGAGTGACCAACACAAAAGAAGTTCACTGAGATAAAAGGATTGAATTCCCAAAAATTATATTTAAAAAAATGAATGAAAAAGAGGATGCTTGAGACAGTTGTGGTTGGATAGAGTTCATCAAAAAAGAAAAAAGAAAAAAGACACAAGAATAAAAGGCAATGTATGAAGCAGTGGTGGAAAGAATGATGGTTTGTAAAGATAAAATAGTATGGAGTGCTATATAAATGTTTTGGTGTAACTAGTTTTAGCTTTATTGCATCTATCTATCTATCTATCTATCTATCTATCTATCTATCTATCTATCTATCTAAATTCTTAAACCTTAATCATGTTTGGCTTCTTATATTTTATGCCTTCTTCACTGCTATATAACACTGCTTACCCAAAAAATATTGCATGATAGGCACATTGATATGCATGAATTATATCAGTTGATCTAATTATATTGGAGATAAAACTTTGTTTTCTAACTTCATAGGTGTACATATTCCGCACAGATAGGAATTCTGGCTCTTTGATCAAAATCTTCCAGGCTTCTGGTAAAAAGGTGAGTAACCCTCAAGCAAAAATACATTTCACTATAATCAGCTTTCACAGATAATAGTGTTTGGGGGTGTTGGGCTTTAGAATTTACTGACCATGGTCTGGAGAACAGTTTTCCCAACATTTTGTCAGCAGGTCTGGCTGGCATCTTCAGCGGCAGTATAGCATATTACCTTGCATCTGAATATGCCAACCATAGTTCCTGGCAAAAATGTCCAGAAATTTGTTTTCCAGACCACAGTCACTAAATCCTGAAACCAGCGCTGTCAACAAATACATATATTTACTTTTTAATAAATGTAATAAAAGGTACTCCACATTGTTCTTGTCTAAGCCTTATTCAGGTTGCTCATTAGCACAATGTTTTCAAGGCAGAGTTTACTCAATTGATTACATTTCTTTCTTCATGCTGCAATTTTCTGAGTTGAGAACATTTTAAGGAACAGATGTCTTGGATCATCCATCCATATAACCATGCATTATAAATTCGTGGTGGATTTTTATCAGCTTGATAAGAACCCTTTTTGCAAATGCTATCAAACTGTTACGGTAAATATATGTTTTTATTTGTAGAGCTTATGGCAGGGGTGTCAAATTTGCGATGACATGTCATCACATGAGGTATTGCAGCTTTCCCCCCCTTCACTAAACCGGGGGTGGGCGTGATCAGCACGTGACATATCCAGCCCGTGGGCCTCGAGTTTGACACCCCTGGCCTATGGTATCAGGTAAAGCAAAATTATGCAAAAACTAAGTTTTCTGTGCTCAACAGAGTTGTGTGACATTTAGATGAGACTTTTACTGTGTTTCCCTGAAAATGCGACATGTCCTGAAAATAAGGCCAAGCCTGATTTTTGGGGTGGTCCTAAATATATGCCCTCCCCTGAAAATAAGCCTTAGTGAAGGGGTGGGCATGGCCAGCACAGGAGACAACCTTTCCCTTTCCCAGTCACCCTCTGGAAGTTCGCATTAATTGCTGCCTGCTGATCAGCTGAGCCAGCAAGGGTTATGCAACTCGGGCCAGATCTCCAGAGCACCTCCCCAGCTGCCGGCCTCTATTTCCTTTTCCTGCCAATCGTTCTTTACTTGGGATCACAGCACAGATACACATCCATCTGAAGCCTTCAGCCTTGCAATCCTGGGAGAGGCCTCTGTGCTGCGATCCCAAAGAAAGAACGGGGTGTGTGTGTGTGTGTGTGTGTGTGTGTGTGTGAGAGAGAGAGAGAGAGAGAGAGAGGGAGGGAGGGAGGGAGGGAGGGAGGGACGAAGGGAGAGAAAGAGAGAGAGATCCGATCCAACCTCAGAGAGTCCAGGGCTGGCAGCAATGTTCTCTCCATCCGTCCCCCCCTGTCTCTCACACATACAGGTCCCTCACCTCCCCCAACCCTCCCAAAACAGCCACATCCCTTTACTAACCTGCTTTCCAGCTCTGTTCTCCACTGTCATGTGCAGGGCAAGAAAAGTAGTCTGTGGGACTATGGTAAAAAACCCTTCCAACATTGCGAGATTTTTTTTTTTTCATGAGAAGTTGGCAGGTATTTTTTTTTTTACTGTAGTCCAACAGACTTCTTGTCCTGAACGTGCAGCAGAGAACGGAGCTGGAAAGCAGATTAGTGAAGGGATGTGGCTGCCCTGGTGGGGAATGCGCAGGGCAAAGAGAGGTGCGTGGGCTGAGCTGGGCAGAACTTCTCCGCCCCCCCCCCGCTGTCCACAGCACCGACCGTAGACCTCAAGCCACCGCTCCTTCTCCTGTACCATGGCTGCAGCCCGCCCATTCACGCCCCCATGCCCAGGTGCCGTGTCCACTTAGCCCACGCTACCGAGCGCCCGCCACAGCAGCCCCAGTGCCAGCATCACCACCTTGGGGTTTCCTCGGCAGGGTAGCTTGTAGCGGCAGCGAGTCCTCCATGTGTGGCGGGTGGAAGTCAGTGCACATACTTCCAGTGGGGGCCGGGGGGGTGGCTGCATGGTGAGGCATGGGAAGTCACGGAAGACTACAACACCTGGCAGGCCTGGCACATCCCGCAGCTGGACACAGGTCTCTCGGCAGGGATGGCTGAGGTGCTGTGGGTGTTGTTGCTGCTGCCATCGCTGCCTGTGGAGGCCCTGTGGGCCAAGCTCAGCCGCGGGCAGAGAGCACTGGCTGTGGCTGGGCCGGCCAAGCTGCGCCTGTCAGTGCTGCCCTCAATACAGCTCCCCGACATCTTGCTGCTGGGTGTCTGGAAAGAGTAAGTGGGAGGAAGGGAAGGCGGGCAAGAGTCCCACGAGGCTCCCCTCTCCAGAAAGAGTCTGGCCTGGGCCTGGATGCCGTCCCATCTGGTGACTCCCAAGGCAGAGGGGCTCCCCAGGCTCACTGGCGGGCGCTCCAGTTGGTCAGTGCTCTAGTGGGGGGATCGCAGGGCGATCGGAGCAGAGTGGAGCGGGGGTGGTGAAGGGGAGGCAACCATCACCATAGAGTGGGAAAGGCACTCCCAGAGCGGTTGCTGCCGTGGTTTGGGTTTGGAAGTTGCAGAGGCAGAGTTTGGGGGAGAGAAAGAAAGACTTCTGCTGCTTCCCTTGTGCGCAGCCAAAAGCAGAAGCAGCAGAAGTCTTTCTTTCTCTCCTCTCCCAAACTCTGTCTCTGTGGATTCCAAACCCCGGCTGGAAGCTGCTGGAAGTGGAGAAGAGGCCAGTTGGGCCAGCTGCCTGCTGCCAAGTCTTCTGGCCAGTTGGCCTAAAACCCCATGGGGCCCCTCCAGCAGGGTGCCCTTCTTTGCTTTGTGGGCATCTGGGGCAGAGAGGCGGTGAAGGGCAAAGGGAGTTGCAGCCCCACATAGGGAGTCCGTGCCGCCACCCGTCAGCTGGTAGGGACAGTGATGCAGCCAGGGCAGTGGCCACTCTGTGAGTGTGCTTTCCACTCTATAGTGATGGCTGGTGCTCGAGCTGGACCCTGCAGGGGAGCTGGCCCAGGCCATGGCTTCTGTGTGGGTGCTGGTGGTGGGTGCCGGCAGCATCATCTGCGAGCTCCTCAAGGACCTTGTGCTCACCGGCTTTGCCCACATCGATGTGATGAGGCCTGGGAGGCACGTGAGTGGTGGTGGTGGGGATGTGTGAAACAGGCGCTTGTGTGGCTTGTCACCTTCGGGTCGCTCGTGTTTCACACACCCCTATGGGAAGGGAGGAGCTTGATGCCAGCGCATGGAGGGAGCCTCTCTCTGCTGGACTCTGGCTGTGAGTGTGCAGGCCGCCCGGGGCTTCATGCACCCCGAAAATAATAAAAAAAAATAAGGCCAAGCCCTTATTTCAGGGTTAAAGAAAAAACAACCACGGTCTTATTTTTGGGAAAACACGGTAGTAAGATGACCCCTGATTGACCTATACACTACTAAAGCATTCTCTGTCTACTTGCAGGATGACATTTTTTTGCTGAAAATAAATAATGCTAGGAGCTTTCTTTTTATGGAGTTCTGTTATAATGCCACACAATCTGAAGTAGTTGACTTTTTAAAAATTGGAAATAAATTGTAAATTTAAGTTGACAGATGTAAATGGCAAAAAGTTAAAAAATTCTCTCAATAACATTAGGCAATCTCTCTCAGGGCAATCCCATGACAGACATATAACAGAGATCTTTTCCTTCATGAAATTGCTCTAATCCATAGTGACATATTATTCAGTTACTTCATTCATAGTCTAGGAAATTAAAATAAGACTGCTGTATGCAATTGCAAAGAATAAAAAGAATCCACATGGGATTAGATGCTGACTGACCAGCAATTCAGAAAAGTAAACAGAAATAAACAGTTTAATTATATTTTGGTCAAGTGAGTCCTATTTTCACAATGAATGAAGAATAAGCATTTCTTGGCAAAAATCGAAAGGACATTCACTATTCAGGGCAGCTTTTTAAGTCAGGGTTGTCTTGTGAAAATTGCATAAAATGTTTCCGTCCTGTGTACCTGCAATTCATACTTGTCATCCCATAATGCAGAGAGAGTCTTTGATGCCACTGCCATAGATATGTGATTCTATCATAGTAATTCTGAAACCAAGTCATGTGATATGTGATCTCTTCAGTCTTAAATCTGCCAAATACAGTCTTTTTTCAGTCCAGCTACTTCAATCCAAATAACAAATTATCTATTATAAGAATTAGGTTTTCAAAAATAAATCAATATAATAAAGTCAGATGATTAGTTCAAATGAGTATAAAGATTTATTGCAATCTTAAGCAAGAAGATCCACAAGAATCTGGCCAGGTGACCATTACGGGAAACATGGGAAAGATAAGAATGGAATTCAAGGTAGGCTGGACTTATGGGTATGAAGGAACTCATGACTTATGATGCATTTGACCCCTCCCTTAGACTCAACTTGTCATCTCCTACAGTGTCTTCCCCAAAAAGAACATTATATTTCCATTCCATCGTCAAAGGCTCTATGGAAAAGAAAGACAGCCTATTGTCAGCCTTCTGAAAAACTAATAGGAGCAATAACAACCTTGTCTCTAGAGGTAGGTTATTTCAGAGAAGGGAAGACATTGCAAAGTGGGCTCTTCTCTAGACCACTTCTTGCTTGTATTTCCAGATGAGACACTTTTAATATGCCCTCTCTATTAGTTCTTACTAGATAGGCAATTCCATTTGGAGCAGGCTGTTTTATAGGTAACGAGTCAAAATTTATAGTGTAATAATTAGCATTTTAAATTTATTAATAAAACTTATAGGTAATAATTAGCATCTTAATTTGAACCTTAACATTTGCAAGCAATCAGTACAGTTACTGGAAAAAAATGATACCTTATGGGTAAATTAAGAATACTCTGTCACTATATAGATTACAGATTAACAGAGTTGGAAGGGACCTTGTAGGTCTCCTAGTCCAACCCCCTGCCCAAGCAGAAGGCCCTACACCATTTCTGACAAATGGCAGTCAAATCTCTTCTTGAATGCCTCCAGTGATGAAGCTCCCACAACTTGTGAAGGCAAGCTGTTCCATTGGTTGATTGTTCTTACTGTCAGAAAATTTATCCTTATTTCCAGGTTGAATCTCTCCTTGTTCAGTTTTCATCCATTATTTCTTGTCTAGCTCAGGTGCCTTGGAAAACAGCTTGACCCTTCCTCTCTGTGGCAGTGCCTCAAATATTGGAACACTGCTATTATGTCTCCCCGGTCCTTATCTTCACTAGACTAGTAATGTCCAATTCCTGTAACTGTTCCTCATATGTTTCAGTCCCCTAATCATCCTGGTTGCTCTTCTCTGCACTCTCAACATCTTTTTTATAGTGTGGTGACCAAAACCGAATGCAGTATTCTAGGTGTGGTCTTACTAAATGTGGTATTAGTACCTCACTTTATCTTAATTGTATCCCTCTGTTAATGCAGCTAAGGATTGCATTGGCTTTTTTAACTGCCGCTGCACACTGCTGGCTCATATTTAGCTGATTGTCCACTAAGACTCCAAGATCCTTCTCACAGTTACTGCTATTAAGCCTGGTTTCACCCAATCTATATGTGTACTTTTGGTTTTTCTTGCCTAAGTGGAAGACTTTACTTTTCTCTACATTGAATTTCATTTTGTTAGATAAGGCCCAATCTGTCAAGATCCGTCGGGGTCTTGAGCCTATCTTCTAGGGTGTTAGCTATTCCTGCCAGTTTAGTATCATCTGAAAATTTGGTAAATTCCCTTTTTATTCCCTCATCTAAGTCATTATGAAAATATTGGAAGAGTACTGGGCCTAAGATGGAACCTTGTGGTACCCCATTGCTTACTTCTCTCTATGTAGACTTAGACCCATTAAGGACTACTCGTTGAGTATGGTTTGTCAGCCAGTTGTGAATCCATCTGGTGGTGAATCTAGCTATCCCACTTTTTTCTAGCTTACAAAGAAGTAGGTTGTGGTCTACTTTGTTGAATGACTTGCTGAAGTCTAAGTATATTATGTCCACAGTATTTCGCTGATCTAGTAATTTAGTCACTATTTTGAAGCATGAAATAAGATTGGTTTGGCATTATCTGTTTTTAACAAACCCATGCTGACTGCTAGTTATTACTTTACTCGTTTCTAGATGTTGGAAGATCTGTTTTTTTATTATCTTTTCCAGTATATTCTCGGTTATTGATGCTACGCTGATTGGTCTGTAGTTTCCTGGGTCTGGTTTTTTTTCCTTATTTGAATATGGGAACCACATCACTTCTTTTCCAGTCCTCTGATAGTTCCCTGGTGTTCCAGGATTTTTGAAAGATGTGGTGCAATGGTTCTGAGATGACATCTGCCAGCTCCTTTAGAACTCTGGGATGTAATCCATCAGGTCCCGATGATTTGTATTCATCAAGATCAGACAGGTGTTCTCTTACTATTTTTTTTGCTTATTTTAACTTTTATTTCTAGTCTGTCTTTTACAGTTACACTTTTGGTGGATTGAGTTAAGAATGAGTAAGCAGCTCTGCTTTCTCTCTGTTGCCTGTAACTTCCTTGCCATCTTCTCTCTTTAGTGGACCGACTGTTTCCTTGATTTTCTTCTTGTTATTTATATGTTGGAAGAAACTTTTAAAATTATCTTTGACTTTTGTTGCAAGCTTTTGTTCATTCTGAGCCTTTGCTTTCCTGACTTCATTTTTGCAGATTCTGTTATCTGCTGATATTCTGCATTATTTATGTGTCCCTCTTTCCATTTTTTGTACTTGTCCTTTTTTGACTTTCAATTTGTCAGAGAGATCTTTGTGCAGCCATGCTGGTTTCCCAAGATTCTTGAGTAGTTTTCCCTTAAGGATTTTCATCCAAGGAATCTTTCCCAAGTTCTCTCTGGGTTTATTAAAATCAGCTCTTTTAAAATCTAAGACTCTGGTATCATTATGTTCTATTGCTTATGTTTGCATTATCTTGAATTCTAGTATGACGTGGTCACTCTCATCCAAGATTCCTGCAGTTTCAACTCCCTTTAACACTTCTCTGTATATCAACAACTATATTCAAACCATTTTTATCTTTGGTATGGTTCTCAAGTTGAACTCATTTTAAACAGACTTAATCAGTAACAGTTCAAAATAAGACCCCACTTAATATTTTAAATCCTTAAATTTCAGTATTTAAAATTATTAGATGGAATGAATCTTTTACTGTGGGGCAGTAAAACTAATTATCTATGCTCGCACAAGGAGTTTTTAAAAAATAGTATTTTGAGTTTCCCATACCCTCCCATTTGAAGGGCCAACCTCTTCATTAAGTAATTTGTCATGGATTCAATCCTTGGATGAATTTTTGAGCTGATAATAGTTTCCAGTATTACTGAATATCATCAGAAATGCATAACAGTGCATTTCTAGGCATAATTTGCCTGCCATAGGTCTACCTTTCTGGTCTTTTATCAATATTCCTGATCTGGTCTTATTAAAAAGCCTGAACTTTTCAGTTACTGAGATCACATCTACTTCCTGACCCAAAAGAGGGTTTCAAGAGGCAACTGGACTTCCTTGTTTTTCTTTGAAGACCTTTCATTTCTCATCCAAGAAACTTCTTCAGTTTGGATAAGAAGCAAAACGTCTTAAAAGAAAAAACAGAAAGTCCAATTGCTTCTTGAAAAAGCACCTTTTGGACAACCATGACCTGGCTGACTGAGAATCTCCATAGGTATCTACTTTATGACTTAATTCTCTCTTTTAACTCCATTGAAGTGATTGTAAGTTGCTTGGAATCTATGAGAGAATGGTCAAACAGGTATCCAAATGATATTTTTACACTGCATTAATTTGATTCTTTTTAAAATTGTCCTGCATAAACCCTGAAATGTTTATTGATGTAGGTGAATCATCATCATCACTTCAGTAATCCAGGTATATTTAAAGCAAGAGTAGGAAAGGCATAGGATGAGGCAGAATTACAATTCCCAGTAGCCAAAGCTAGTGGGTATTCTCTGAAATGCCAGAAGTCCAGTAATTAAAATAATTACTTTGCTGCTTAGCAATACTTCAAGGGTGGTTCTTGTGGGGAAATGAGATGGGTAGGGGACTACCTGTATTGCTTTGTGCTATAAAAGGAAGATGGGATAGAAGACAAATAAAATAAGCTAGAAATATGTGAGGCTTTTAAAAATAAGAACAGTGATGATGATGATAATAATATAGACTTAACAATTGTTGATAAGAAAATTTGGATAATAGACAAGGCAGTACCTGGGGACAGGAGAAGAGAAAGAACTGGAGAAAATCGCAGAATATAAAGACCTGCAAATAGCAATAAAATGATTGTGGCAAAAAATAAAATAAAATAAAAGTAGTATCAATAGTAGTACCAAAACAAACTGGAGCATCACTTGAATACGATTGGCATTGAAATAAAAAATCGCCATCAGTCAATTGCAAAAGGCAGCTTTACATGGGACAGCTAACATCTTGCAACAATACATTTAACACCATCAAACCACAACTGCCTATCCCAGGTCTTGATAGGTGGATAAAGATGTCAAATCCAGTCTATATCTCTTGATGTGTTCACTGGTGTTCAACCATAACAATAAGAGCAGCTGCCCTATCCAGTTGATATTAGAAAACTATTGCAACTGGCATTTACAGCTACCAGGTGTGAGATAGATCAGTAGGTTGTAGTTTCACTTGCAAAAAAAGAGAGAAAAGCTTGTGTGATTTCCTCTTGTGTGTGGGCAGATACTGAATGCTTTGTTGTGACTCGATTTGGTTTCAGATGGGCTCTTACTTTGGCTCCTCCTTATGTGCAGTTGATCTGAATTCTGATGGACTTTCAGACCTGTTGGTGGGAGCACCCATGTTTTCTGAGATTCGGGATGAAGGTCAAGTCACTGTCTTCCTCAGCAGAGGAAATGTAAGTATATGAACGAACCAAACTAACAGTTTGGAGAAATCTTTGTAATACTTAATCACAATTGTACTGTATTATGTGAATTTGGCTTTAGGGCACTAAAGCCAAATTAAGCAAATGTGGGATTTCAATTTTCCAATTTTTGCTTAAGAGATAAAGCAGTTTTAATAAAACAAGGAGATGCATGTGCTTTTATTATCTCTTAGAATATTATAAAGTCTGTTTGAGTTCCTTCTTGTGCAAGAGTGAACAAATTTGTTATAACACAAGCAAGAAAATACTGGGATGTCTACAGCCTAGATTATTCTCATTTTTTACTACGTTTGACCCTTTATTATTATACTTTCTATTTAAAAAAAATCCAAAGCAGCTTCTAAAATGTCATAGAACCTATATGGAAAAGCAAAGAAATATATTCCGTCATAATGAAGGTATCCTAAAAAAGCACTGAAAAACAAAGATGGAGCCAAGCAGACTTACTACGAGAGGGAGTGCTTCTTCCAGTGTCTTCTAATGATGGCGATAGTGAGAAGGTTTTTAGAGGGCTTGTGTGTGTGTGTGTGTGTGTGTGAGTGTGTGTGTGTGTGTAGTATACACAAACACCCCTATATATATACTATGTGCACAATTATTAGGCAAGTTGTATTTTGGAGGATTAATTTTATTATTGAACAACTACAGTGTTCTCGGTCAATCCAAAATGTTAATAAACTTCAAACCTGAATATTTAAGAAAGAAAAAGTGAGGTTTTGGCTTTCTTAGGAGAATATGTGTGCACAATTATTGGGCAACTATTAGTGTGCAGAATTATTGTGCATCTAAATGAAAAATGAAAATCTGCCCATCTCACTCATTTATTTGCATCTGTTAGTGAGAACAATAAAGAAACATCTCAAAATGTACAAATAAACATTTTTGACATTAAAAAAAAACAGTGATCAGTATAGCCACCCTTCTTTTCAATAACAATTATAAGCCTTCCATTCATGGAGTCTGTCAGTTTCTTGATCAGTTGACAATAAACATTTTATGCAGTAGCAACCACAGCCTCCCAGACACTGTTCAGAGAGGTGTATTGTTTTACTTCACTGTAAATCTCCCGTTTAACAAGGAGATTTCTCAATAGGGTTTAGGTAAGGTGAGGAAGAGGGCCATGTCATTATTCTTTCATCTTTTAGACCTTTTCTGGCTAGCAATGCAGTGGAATACTTTGATGCATGCGATGGAGCCTTGTCCTGCATAAAAACCATAGTCTTCTTGAAAGATGCAGACTTTTTCCTGTACCGCTGCTTGAGGAAAGTGTCTTCTAAAAACTGGCAGTAGGTTTGGGAGTTGATTTTGAGTCCATCTTCAACCAGAAAAGATCCAACTAGCTCATCTTTAATAATTCCAGCCCATACCAGTACCCCACCTCCACCTTGCTGGAATCTGAGTCGAAGTGGAGCTCTGTGCCTGTTGCTGATCCAGCAATGGGCCCATCTATCTGTCCATCAAGAGTTATTCTCATCTCATCAATCCATAAAACCTTTAAAAAAATCTGTCTTCAGGTATTTTTTGGCCCAGTCTTGCCATTTCAACTTATGTGTCTTGTTCAGTGGTGGTTGGGTTTCAGCCTTCCTTACCTTCGCCATGTCTCTGAGCACTGAACACCTTGTACTTCTGGGCACTCCAGGTAGTTTGTAGTTCTGGAATATGACAGCACTGGAGGATAATGGGTTCCTGGTAGCTTCATGTTTGATTCTTCTCAAATCTTTGGCAGTTAATGTCCATCTTTTTTTCTCAATACATTTCTTGTGACACTGTTAACTATCTGCAACAAAACATTTGATAGTTCTGTGATCATGCCCCAATATCTTGCAATTTCAAGAGTGCTGCATCCCTGTGAAAGACTTCTTACAATGTTTTCAGAGTCAGTTAAATCTCTTTTTTGGCCCATTTTGCTCTAGGAAAGGAAGCTGCCTGATAATTATGCACACCTTGATGTAGGGTGTTGATCTCCTTAGGCAGAGGTGAAATTCAAAATTTTTCCCTACTGGTTCTGTGGGCGTGGCTTGGTAGGCATGACTTGGTGGTCATGTGACTGGGTGGGCATGGCCAACTCAATGTCACTCACATCAAGGGGTGCCTCGCCTGGCCCCTTCCCTCCCAGCCATTCCTTGTCACACCCAGCCTCAACGTATCTATAGTTCTGTAAAAACGTTCATCTTTTTTCGACTTGATTATCTACATACTATAGATCAGGGGTTGGCAACCTTAAACACTTAAAGAGCCACAAAGGTCTTAACCGGAAGTCCCCTGTTCAATTCTGGAGTCAACCGGAAGTCCGGTTCCCCCACCATAGAGTCTCCACCTAGCGCGGCATCCTTTTTAATTTAATTTTCCTCTACTTGTCCTAACTGAAAGCCCTATCAATTGTGGAGCTGACTGGCGACAGGGAGCTGCAGCAGAGGGATGAAAGAACCACATGTGGCCCCAGAGCCACGGGTTGCTGACCCCTGCTATAGATGTACTTTCATGGACCGCTGAAAGGAGGAAATGGCTCACATGCTTTGCCCAAGAGTGTGATAGGCAACAGGCTTTTAAGGGGCTGCCACAAAGAAGGGGGAGCAATGTATTATCCAAAGAAGCAGAAGGCAAAACAAGGAGCAATGGATGGAAACTGAACAAAGAGAGAAGCAACCTAAAACTAAGGAGAAACTTTCTGACAGTGAAAATGATTAACCAGTGGAACTGCTTGTCTCCAGAAGTTCTGGGTGCTTGATCACTGGAGGTTTTTAAGAAAAGACTGGACAGCCATTTCTCTGAAATGTTATAAGGGTCCCCTCCAAAGTCCCTTCTAAGTGTTATTCTGTTATTCTGACACCTTTCCCAGGCACTCCACTCAGATCCAAAATGAGGCTGTGGTAGTTGATCAGAGCTCCTCTGTTTTTTATGTGCAACAGCTTTAGCGTTTAGGGTCAGAGCTAAGTTAATTTCCTTTCTGTTAATACATAATCCTTAAAAGGGCTCTCCTGTAGGGACCCTGCATGGTCTAATTCAGAGGTTCCCAACCTTTCTGGCACCAGGGACTGGTTTCATGGAAGACAATTTTACCATGGACCTGTGTGTGTGAGAGGGGGGGGGAGAGAGACAAGTATACGGTTTGGGAAAGAGGCACAGACAGAAGTGGTAAATTAAATAGTAGGTGGGCCACGCATAAAGTAAAATAAGTGTGGGATTGTTACTTAAGGCCTGCCACCAGATGATTTTGCTCCAGTTCAGAGGAAAATCAGAATGAACATACAGAGAAGACTTCACTAGAAAGAGCATTCTTTTGCTCCAGGAGAAAATCAGAATAAAGAACTGGAAAAGCCTTCACAGGAAGAAGCTTTTTTGTTCTGCTCTGGAAGAAAATTAGAAGACACAGAGAAATCTTCACTGGAAGAGGGTCTCTGATTTTGCTCCAGAGGAAACCCTCAATCAAAGACCCGAAGAAGCAGAAAGAGGGTGAATGACCACCACCTGCACTTTTCAATGGTTCAGCACAGTGATTCCCTTCCAGATTAGCCCTGTGACTTTCTGTTTCTAAGAAAGTGGAAAGGAAAGTGGGGGAGAAGAGACAATTCTAAGTCACCCTTCCAGCAATTCTAACTCTGGAGTAAGGCAGGGGGTTTCTACTGGCTATATTGTCTGAGTTTCTCAATGGCTTCCTTCAGGCAAGCACTGAGCTGGTTTGCAGATTTGCAACATTTTATGAGGTGATAATTGTTTTTGGCTGAACACCCAGACATCTCATTTAAGCTATTTAAGCTTTGCCCTGCTGCCAGAGGGAAGGTGTTCTGCCCCAGCTACGGATCCCAAAGAACACAGCACACACAAACTCTGAACAAAACTTAGTTTACTCAAATAATGCAGTTTTAGCAAATGCCGGCTGTTAATAAGCGTTCTTAACAGCCTGCCAGAATTCCACAGATAAAGATAGTCAGTCTTACTGGAGTTGGCAGAAAGCCCAGAAGCAAGGTTGCATAGAAATCCCAACACAATAATTAGCGAACTAAAGTTGCTTCCTGCAGCTTGTTGCAAGCTGCGTACTTTCTTAAATAGGCTAAGGGAGTGGCCATTTAGCCCCAAGCCTTACTCTCGAGGAGACCTCCTCCTGAGGAACTACTTCTGCCTTTTGGCAGCTCTGCGTGCTCATGCATTAAGAAGAGGCTCTTTCTTTTCATCCTCTTCACTTAAAGGAGCCTCTGGAGGTTCTGAAGGCCCTGACTGGATCTCTGCCTCTGGCACCACATCTTCTCCAGCCTCTTTGCTGTCCGACTCGAGCGCCGGCTGCACAGGCTGCTGGCGCTGCACCACACCAGCCTCCTTGTCGGAATCAACAACAATCCGTGCAGGCCGCTGGCAGGCCACAACACTATCCCTCACTGCAGGACCCTTCCCCCGAGTCTGTCGATTGTTAGCACTTCAAGCTGCATTTACTCTAGTGCATCTAGGTGTAGGTCTAGGACATCGATCCGGATGCGGTCGGGACGGGAACTGGTCATGAAAGGTGCGTACCAGTTCTGGAGGATGAACAGAGGCTGCATCCTCCCATGTGAAGTCCTCCAGCCCATACTCCTTCCACTCGATGAAGTATTGGAACCGACCCTTCAACCACCAGGAGTCTCGAATGCTAGCGACCTCGTACTCAAGCAATCTATCTCTGTCATGGGGCGCTGGCTGAGGATGGTAAAGTTGACGGAGTGGACAGGTAGGCCATTTGGGAACCAGGAGGGATCGGTGAAACACAGGGTGTATCATCAACGACCGAGGCAGGGTCAGGCAGTAGGCCACTGGATTGATGACCGCCTCTACAGGGAAAGGTCCAATGAAACAATGATCCAGATTCTCACTGGCCTGTCTGAGGGGAGATGCTTCGTTGACAACCACACCCGATCCCCAACAGCCAATGGTGGTGTTGCCCGCCAAGAGCGGTCTGCGACCCTTTTATAAACATCCTTAGGCTTGTTGAGATAACGTTT